GAAGGCCATGAAGGATGAGTATAATATCTTGATGCAAAACAACACTTGGACATTGGTACCAATTGAACCTAGAATGAAGGTAATTGGAAACAAGTGGGTGTTTAGAATAAAATTCAACTCTGAAGGGGCAGTGGAACGACATAAGGCAAGGTTGGTGGCCAAGGGGTTCCTTCAAACCCCTGGAGTAGACTATGGGGAAACGTTCAGTCCTGTGATCAAGGCGTCAACCCTAAAAATCATCCTAACACTAGCCGTTTCAAGAGAATGGCACATCAGGCAAGTTGATGTAAACAACGCATTTTTGAATGGAAAGCTCAGTAAAACAGTATATATGCATCAGCCAGAAGGTTTCGTGAGTAAGGAAAATCCAAGTTTTGTGTGCAAGCTAGAAAGGGCCTTATATGGCCTGAAACAGGCTCCAAGGGCCTGGCATGAAGAGTTGAGGAATACCTTGCTGAAATGGAAGTTCAATCAGTCCAAGGCTGATAGCTCGTTATTCTTCTCAGCTGAAAATGGAGACATGGTTTATATATTGGTATATGTGGATGATATAATTATAACAGGGAGTAACAAGCAAAGACTTCAGGTGATCATTGATGATCTAAATGACTGTTTTGCTCTCAAAGATCTAGGGAATCTTAATCAATTTCTTGGTATAGAAGTTCACAGAGATGCAGCAGGCCTCTACTTAACTCAGTCTCAGTATGCAACTGGTTTACTCAAGAAATTTGGCTATGAACATCTCAAACTAAGCCTAACACCCATGGCAGCAGGGAAGTTAATCTCCAAGGTAAATGGTCAAGCTATGGAAGATCCTACCCTGTATAGAAGTGCCATTGGTGGTCTTCAATACTTGGCTCATACCAGGCCCAACATCACTTATGCTGTTAATAGATTAAGTCAATTTCTTCAATTACCTACAGATATTCACTAGAAAGCCTTAAAGAGGGTGTTTAGGTACTTGAAAGGAACAATAAACCATGGTCTTGCCATTCGCAAAAGTGACAGCCTAGACATAAACTCATATGCAGATTCTGATTGGGCCTCGTGTCCCGATGATAGAAGATCAACTGCAGGTTACTGTGTATATCTTGGGGATAGCTTGATATCTTGGTGCTCCAAGAAGCAACAAGTTGTAGCTAGGTCTAGTACCGAGGTAGAATATAGAGCCTTGGCTCATAGTGCAACTGAGATCTCATGGGTCCAATCCTTACTGAAGGAACTCGAAATATCACAGACTTCTACTCCAAAAATTTGGTGTGATAATTTAAGTGCAAAAGCACTGGCTTCAAATCCAGTTTATCATGCACGGACTAAACACATCGAACTCGATGTACATTTTGTGCGAGACAAAGTGCTTAGGGAAGAACTCGTGGTTGACTATATTCCTTCATCAGATCAGACGACAGATTTACTGACAAAACCACTTTCACATTCAAGATTCTTGTTTTTAAGAGACAAGCTTGGAGTTGTAGAAACATCCTCCATCTTGAGAGGGGGTGTTGGAATAAATCAATCACGAGAGAACGCCAGCACTACATAACAGAATTCACTGAAGGAGCAGGACACATGCTGATTTTCAGGAGTGAAATATTTGGCTGTTATGCCACCTGTGCATTACCGTTTAATTAAGCATATTCCCTTATTGTATGTAATAGCATGTACAGGTCATCTGTGTATAAATATTGCTAGCTGAAATGAGAATAATAGCTCTTGGAATTCTTCAATTAATCTGGTTTTTAGACTTGCAAGGAGAATTTCTCTCCATTTTGAGAATGCTCTCCTTGCACCAAGGAGTTCAAAATGGAGAGAATCTCTCGTAGCAAGGAGAGATTCTCTCCATTCTCAAAATGGAGAGAATCTTTCCATTTTAAGAATCCATGCTATATGTTTTTTTTTACTTAGCTTTATCTTTATATTTTTTTATTCAACCAATGTAAACATGTCACTATTTTACTTTTGCTTTTTCACACGCAAACGTAAAATACAAAAAATGAAACATATATAATGAATACTTACTTGAATGGTGATGACACTCTCTTTTCCATAGCCTTTGCAATCAGCCTCCAATTTCTCTTTCTCCATTTGCAGAGATTGTCCCAACCTACAAGTGCATAATTAGATTAATAGCCAGTACAAGAGGAACTACCAATATTGCTTATGCGAAAGTTAATCACTTTAATGTAAAGACAATACTTTATTCATCGACTTTCTTCAGGAGGAAAAGGCAAAAACCGACCCAAAAGAAAACTTGCACAGAATCCCAAAAATCAAAACCAATATACGAAGAAAGCAGAATGGACCATCTGAAAGGGAAAAAGTAACGTAAGGAGTTTTAGCTTCTCTCTGGTCTTTTTCTTCAACTGGCTTGAAGCGGGTCCAGGTCTGAGATCGAAGCACCGAGAGAAAGCGAAAGAGACATGAGTAGTCATCATGGGAAAACGGAGAAAAGACAGAGAAGAGAGAGATGTAAATAGATTTTCAGAAAGATGAAAAGAAATGGCGTAAAAGTGAAGTGCTCGCAACAAAAGTTTTTTACCCTTTTCACACGCAAACATTAAATGAAAACCATTACAGTGGCACAATTATTTTTTACTTTTTCATCATTTACAGTAAAACTTTCTCAACACAAATATTTTTTTAATCGTTTATAGTTACGTGTCAATGGGACTTGTAAAAACAAACCCATTAAAAAAAACTGTTCATACTGTTCACATGAACAATACACGTTTTTATAACTTTTTTTATTTTTTACTTTTTCATCATAAAAAATATATATATGTTTTTTTAATCCACTCAAAGTGGAGCGGACCACTGTGCAAATAGCTGGTATGAAATTAGTATTGGTAATGCTATGAAAATGATTCATCCAGTATTGCACACAAATAAATTGTTCATTTATTTTGGAAAAAGTTATGTTGATAAAAAAAAATATTTTCTTCTCACAATAAAGCAAGCAGCAACATGAAATTTGGTTAAAGAACTGGATCTAAACAAATTTAATTTCCAATTTCATCCAATCAGTTTCCACCCAAATCAAAAAATTCAAATGGCAACCATAATCACCACAACAAGGCACCCTATACTTCAGCGCGGAGCTGTCTCCGTGCAAACTACCAACAAGTTCAGCCTTCTTGTGCTTTCAGAACATTCATCCTTGAAGGGCAGTTTCAACTACTTCCAATCACCAAACATAAAGCGATCCCATTTCCATCACTCTTGCTTTTCGGACATCTGTCCTCCCATCCCAAGGACCCCATTTTTCCACATACTCATTGGATCTTATGAGGGTTAATGACATATATGCTATAGCAGAAAATTAATAATTGCTTCATCCAGTTCAATGAAGTTAAATGAAAGGTTTGCATGAAACTATCATCACCGGTAAAAAAAAAAGGTCTTGTTAACGTGATGGATCCTCTTCCACTTCTTTAATTAATTATTCCATTCAAAAATTTACCGTCAAGTGTAGTAATTACACCAATGAATAAGTGAGGCCATTCTATGTCATGCTCCCAATTTGAAACAAAAAGAATTCATGCCAATGTCATTGGCATGCACAGCGTCGGAATGAACTGCACCTAGGGATGGTAAAAAAGCTGCCGGCTCAGGTGGCTCGGGCTCGACTCGGAAAAAGCTTGAGCTGGGCCCGGCTCGGGCTCGGTTACACCAAGCCAAGGCTCAGGTCGAGCCTCATTTTTTTGGCCGAGCTTTACTCGGCTCTGATCCAAAAAAGCTCGGCCCCAAAAAACTCGAGCCAAACCCGAGCTATTTTATTTAATTTATAGTACGTATAAACCGTACAAATTTTGAATTTTTTAAGCAAAAATATAGATTTGGCATTAAAAAAAAAACCCAAAAGGCTCGGTCCAGGCTCGGGTCGGGCCCAAAAAAGCTCGAGCCGAGCCCGAGCATTTTTTTTTGGACTCGGGCTCGACTCGTTGACACAACTAACTGCACCTCCATGAAATGGATGTTACAAGATTCCTAGTGCACAAACCTTATATTACATCAACAAAGAAATATAATGACAGACAAAACAATACAGTTGTCATACTACTTCAACAATTTCAATTTGAAAACATTAACTATACACTCCACGAAGAATGTATTTCCACATAATACAAACCTCCCAAAATCTCAATTAACCTAATCAACACAACTTTGCTGGTCAACATCCTAATACTTGATCGCCTTACTGCCCAATTCCAATCAATTATACATCCTGAATTTACATTCAGATCCTAAACTCGAAAAGGTCAAGTCTAAATCTCCACGATTTTAAAACAAATTCAAGAAAATGCAAAAAAAAAAATAAAAATACACGAATTTCAGCCACAATTACGTTTGGAATTGAACAAAATTCTCCATCTAAATTCTATTAAAACAAAATTTAAATTTAAAAATGTCAATTTTATCGAGTGACAAAGTTGGTCAGATCTCAATCATTTTCATTTCCAAATGTACTGAAAAATTAGACTCACCAAGGTGGAATTGATGGCCGCATTGGAGCTTTGCCTAGGATCTAGCCCCATTATCAGTCACCCTATCTAAGCAAATTGTGCTCGAAACAACCGCCGATGCCGTCTTGCCCCCACCTTTATCACCATCATCCATAAGATCCGCATCACCCAATCCCATAATTCAATCACCAATTTCCAAAACCCTACCTTAATTCGAATCTTTCACACAAAATTTCGAATAATTAGTTGAGTGAATGAATAATTAAGTGAATTTAAGAGAAACGCGTAACTTATAAAGAGAAAGAAGAGAGAGGATATCGAAAAACTGTGAACCACTTTCTTTGAATTCCTATTATTTCTCTCTCTACTCACCGCCTGCCTGGTAGCTTGAAAAAAACTAGTTTATATTTGTCTTCGTTCAAAACGGAGACTGAACGGAGAGACGCACTCCGTTCTGAACGGAGAGAATTTGGTACAGTTAATTTTTTTTTTTTTACTTAACCTTATCCTTATATTCTTTTATTCAACCAATGTAAACATGCCATATGGAAAAACTGTGAACCACTTTCTTTGAATTCCTATTATTTCTCTCTCTACTATGTTCGTGCAGCACGGAGCTGCCTCCCAGCGCTGTGCACGGAGCTGCCTCTGTGTTGAATGGAGAGGGATTGGAGTTCGAAACTCTCCGTGCTGAACGTATCCGTTCAACAAATACTTAATAAGCCACACAATCTTCCAAAAAAATTATTACAAAGAAAAGTTGAGGAAGAAACCAGCACAAAATAATGAACAATCTGTCTTGACGTACCTTGGGATTGTGCAACTTTTTCTGTTCTTTGGAGAGTTTATCGTCTAAATTCGGCTTGGATTTCGATGTCTTTTTGGCGGAAGCTCCGACTTTATGAAGAAGGAAAAACTCACAGCGTAGAAGGAAGGCATGGAGAAGAAGAAATGAAAAGTTATTGCATTGGTTGTGGGATGAAGTGAAGTTGCGTGTAAAAATGGAAAAATATTGCGTTGCGTGTGAAAATGGAGAAATATGCAGTGGAGGTGATGCTGCGTGAAAAAATTGAAGGCAGGCGCGAATGGTCTGGAACAACAGCACACTTCCAAATGGCTCCATTAAATGGCCCACTCGGCTCGGCTAATACGGTCATTCGGCTTATGAACAATAAAAATAGAAGTGGCTGTTTTATATAGTAGTGATAAGCTTTCCACAAATCCCATCAGCCAGGAAGTCGAGAACTTCCTCCTTAGTACTATTAATATGAACTTCTATGAGCGTTTTGACTTGGCATGGAAGATAATATTTCCATCACCCACATCAAGAAGAAATTCTAATGCTAAAATTGCAAAGCAACTGTTGAAGATGATTCTCTTCTCTGATCATGTGCAGTCAGCGATGAGGCAAAACAAAAGATTGTGAGTAATGTTGTGAGTGCGTTGTCTGATTTTGTGGAGATAGAATCACAGGATAAAGTTCAACTGAGTGTCTCAACTGATCTCGATCTTGGCACCATTTACTCTGTCACTGTGCCAGTGCATCGGGTGAGATCTGAATATCTAGTCGAGAATGAAATTGGAGCAATAACAAACATTGAGTACAAAACTACTGGAGAAACCTCCGATTCTGTTGATGTCAAGTTTGATTTCTACATTCCAAGCGAAGCCACATGGAGGCCCCCCGAAAAAACAAATGTCTTTCTTGTTTGGTTTGGCATTTTCATTTTTTTACTTTCCTTTCTTTCGACATGCTAGAAGGGTGGGTTTTCTTCTGTTTCACTAGTTTTAAGTCTCATCGTTCCCTATTTATAAAAAAAAATGTTTATATGCTAGGTCTCATAAAAACATGAATGGCCAAGGGAAGGGACAGTGTTATTGAAATATAAATAAATATATTTCATATTGACATTAGACTCTTTCAACAATTACATTTGGAATTTATTAGTCATTTGTTAAGCTATAACAAAAACGTAAAAAGTTGTCTCAAGTAACATAGACAAACTTTTTTAGATGGTAGTGCTTTTTTATTATAGTTTTATCTTCTATAACAACGTAATTGCTTAAAATTTTATATACTAAAGTCAAATTGATAAAGGTAATGAATGGAAATAACTTTTATTGGATTGATTGAAGTTCATAGTTCTTTGTACTTTAATGAGAAGTCACTTGGGTTATATTCAGTATTCTAAAAGGCGTGTCACGCTTTTTTACGCATATTTCTTTTTCTAAATTCGTCTAATCCATAACTTGGCCTCCACGTATCGCCACGCATCACGTCTTTTTGAACGCTGGTTATACTTCTTTGAGGGCAAGGGAAGAATGTAATTCTCACCAAGGGAATAAATAAAGCGTCGTGTGTTTTCTCTTTTGATTAGTCTTGAAAAGAAATTTAATTGCATGAAATTTATAACTAGTCGTTACAATTCATTGTCTTCTAGATTGATTTATGCTTTTCTAGTTGAGCAATTTCACTCGATCAATTTTTATCCAAAAATAATTTTCTTTATAACACGAAAAGGCTCCCTCCCTCAGAGACTGCGTCGTTTTGACGCAGACAGATCCGTTATTTCCCTTATCCAATAATCCCGTGCCAAATCACTCCCCTTGGACCCCTCGTGAAAACTCTAAAATCTCCCTTGTACACATACATAATTGTATATCTTAAACAACCCAATTCCGTCGCCCTCAGCGCAGCTCCTCCTCCTCCTAAAGCCGCCACCTTTTTCTGTTTGGAGAAATTCTCTTATTGTCTCTCACGAAAATAAGCATGTCGGACGAGGAGCATCACTTCGAGTCGAAAGCGGATGCCGGCGCCTCCAAAACTTATCCGCAGCAGGCCGGTACCATCCGTAAGAACGGTTATATTGTTATCAAAGGTCGCCCTTGCAAGGTTTGCCTTTTCATGCTCTGTATCTACACGTGCCTATATTAAATAAACATATTTATGAATTTGTATCTAATTATTGGTTTGGATTTAGATATGAGTGTTTGAGGTACAGGTGATCTCTACACTCGTAGTCAATTATGATTGTCGTGTTGATGATTATCTGCATCTTTTTAAAAAAAAAGAAATTTGAATTTGTATATCTAGATATGATGTTAAATAACATTTTATTGATTATCTTTGTTCTTCTTTGATCTGGAGTGGATATGAATATAGCTTGAAGGCACAGTTTTGTATAGTTGAAATAATTTTATACCTGCTGCATGATAATTAGTTCCAGTACCTTTAGCCAATATTAAGTTGTAATTTGTTTGGTGATCAATAGTTTTTTTGATAAGTATTTGGTGATCAATAGTCATCCATATAATTTTCTTTCTGTGTAAAATTTGATCTGAAATATTTATGTAGAGGAGCCTATATAGTCTATATTGTGTACTTGAGGAAAACTAATATGGTGGAGGTAAAATATGATATAATATGTTGTATTTTTCCCTCAGGGCCCCGTGAGATTAGTCAAGGTGCACGCAAGTTGGTCTGGACATCCACGGTTATAAAAAAAAATGTTGTATTTTCAATGTACCCTGAGGATTCTAAAATAACTTTTCTTGTGTAGGCTGCTGATGTATTAAGAGATTGTTGTGGCTGATAAGTCGATATAATTATGGTAATTGTGATCCATACGACACCTAAAAGTTCTTGTGATTGTTACAGGTTGTGGAAGTTTCAACTTCCAAGACTGGAAAGCATGGTCATGCTAAATGTCACTTTGTTGGAATTGACATCTTCACTGGAAAGAAGCTTGAAGATATTGTCCCCTCTTCCCATAATTGTGATGTATGCATTTTTTTTCCTGTTTGGTTTCATCATTAATTAATTTTTTTTCACACAATTGTTATTTTCTTTTACTGTAACGAGTCTTTAAATGATAATCATTGAATTTCAGGTGCCTCAGGTTAATCGCACTGACTACCAGCTTATCGATATCTCTGAGGATGGATTTGTAAGTGCATACTTTTTCTTCATTGTTTTATCGACATGGTATACGTTGTCTTATACACATCTTGCAAAATTTGGTGTAGGAGAGCTTGCTGACTGAGAATGGTAACACCAAGGATGACTTGAAGCTCCCAACTCATGAAAGTCTACTTTCCCAGCTTAGTATTATTTCACTGGTTTCATCGGCCTGTGAGGAACTTTACTTCATTGTTATATGTAGTTGTAGAGGTGTCAAGACGGACGGGCCGACCATGACCAGTGAAAACAGGGATCGTAGGCCGACCCGTGACCCGTGCGGGCAGTTCACGGGCCAAAGAGGTGTGACCCGTGGGTTTCGCGGATTTAGGCTTCACGGGCCGCGGTTAACCCGCGGCCCGCGAAAAAAAAAATGGAACGAAAAATTTTGAAAAAAATGGGGGAGAGAGAACGGCTCTCTCCAGCAGGCTGCTGCTGCTTGCTGCAGGCGTAGTTGCGCCTGCATGCAATTTTTAAATTTTTTTTATTTTTT